ACCCGAATCCCAGCGATGCCCAGACGACCCCCTCCCCCGCGTCGCCGGAGATCGCCGCGGAGAGCGTTACTCGGGGGATTGCGCTCGGGGTGAGCGCTGGCCTGCCCGGCCACGAGGAGATGGGCGGCGAGGAGAGCGATGGCCTGCAGGGGACAGCTGATCGCCAGCGCCGTCCCGCTGATCCTCGTGACGCTCTGGGGAGCGGCGGCGAGGAGATTGCTGCCGCGGCTGCTGACGCGGCGGCGACCGCCCGCGTTCCTGACGCGGCTGATCAGCAGGTCGGTTCGATGCAATCTGAGCGGGGACCCACGAGTACTCCGGCTGGTGGGGCTGAGGAGCGCGTCGAAGAGGAAGAGACAGCCCGCGCTCCAGGCGAGGGACAGGCTCAGACGCCGAGGGGCGCGCAGCAGCGTGAGGACGGGGAGCAGCGGGCCCCTGAGCTCGGGGCGGGTCAAGACGTGCGCTCTCCGCAGTACTCTCCTGCGCGCGGTCGCGACCCGCGGTTGGGTCCATTACGCCGGAGCACGGAGCCACGGACGCCAGCAGGCCGCCAAAGGCGGGGCCGTGGATCTACCTCCGCGCCTCAGCCAGCACGCCGCGGCGCAGCGGCAGGCACGACGCCGCGGGGAAGCCGCGTGGCTGGAGGTGGGAGACGAGGCGGACGCAGAGGAGGCGTCACAGTTCAGCGACGGGGGGCTAGTAGCTTCGCGAGGGCCGCTCACCGGATCCTGCGGGGGAGGGCTGGAGATGGAGAAAACTCGAGTGATGAAAACTCCGTGGGTGACCCATTATTTAACCCTGAAAGAGAGGGGAGTTCTAGTCCCTCTCCTCAGGTGGACGAGGCAGAGCAGCACGAGGAGTTGGATCGAAACCCAACACATAGCCGAGGCGCATCTGCAATTCGAAATGGGAGGCAGAATGGAGTCGGGGGGGGGAACCGAGCCGCACAAATTGCAGACAACACCCCCACCCAGGCCAGTCGGCAGGGTGCAGAGGCATCCACCCGCCAACCCCTGTTCAGCGCTGGCGACCTGGCAAATCGCCAAGATCTTTTCGCCGACGTCGCAACATGGGACCTCAACCCCCTCCGCGACAGCAGGCAACCCCCGCTCGCTCGCCACCCTCCCCGCACACTTCGCGAGTCTTTCGCGGCCTGCCTCCTCACCCCGTTGTTACATCTGGCGCGAGACCCTGACTCACCTGCGGGCTGGAGACTGCTCATGTTCCTCCCGCGCATCCTGTTACGCACCTCGTCAGCCATGCGCCCTGATTGGCCGAAAGTTGGAGCCAGGCTGGTCCAGTTTCGCCAGGGACTTTGGTGTGGTCTGTATGACGAGGCAGCTGACGCAGTTTCACAGCCACCCCAGCCACGTCACGCGCCAGACACCTCCGGCATCCTGGCTCGAGCTGAGGGATTAGCCAAAAGAGGGAACTTGGCCAAATCCCTCCAATCACTTACCGCCACGCCTGTCTCAACACCATCAAGGGATGTGCTAGCAGCGCTATCAGCTAGGCACCCCCCTGCGCGCCAAGCCATCCCAGACTGGGTGCGTGACTACACTACAGACAGCCCTCCATCCATCTCCCCTCGCCACTTCAGGTGCATCCTCGCCAAATGCCCAAACGGTGTGGGTGCCGGTCCCTCAGGCACCACTTTCGAACACCTAAGGGATGCAGCCTTAAGGAACGCAGACATATTCCGCCACCTGCATGCCCTCACAAACACAGCGCTGGCGGGGAAACTGAATGCTGAGGCGGCCGAGCTCCTAACAGCTTCTCGACTTCTAGCCTTCTCAAAGCCGCAGGGGGGTACTAGGCCAATCGCGGTAGGCGAATGCCTTTTACGGCTCGTCGCCAAGGCAGCCCTATTTCTGGCGGCGGAGAAGGCGCGGGACCACTTCGCGCCGCTGCAATTCGGCGTGGCCATCGCCGGAGGCACCGAAGCAGCGGTACACACCGCGAGAACATACCTGGAAGAGAACGAAGGGGCGGTGGCGCTGCAAATTGACCTGGCGAATGCTTTCAATGCGGTGGAGCGGGCGGCGGTGTTTGAGGGCCTCCAGGGGAACGCCCTGGAATCCCTGGTGCCCCTGGTGCGATTGTCCTACGGGTGTCCCTCGTCGCTTCACCTCGACCATGCGTTCCAAGCACCCCCACTGCAGTCCGCGCGAGGCGTTCGCCAAGGGGATCCGCTTGGTCCCCTTCTCTTCGCTGCGAGCATCCACCCGTGCCTGGCTGCGGCGGCGGAGGCGCACCCAGAGGTCGTCATCCTCGCATACGCGGACGACATCACCATCCTGGGAGAAGCAGCGGCGTGCTCGGAGGCGTTCACTTACCTCACCAGCGCCCTACACTCCCTGGGCCTCGAACACAACCCCGAGAAGTGCGCGGCGTGGTCGGCTGCTCCTGTGGAGGCTTCCACTCTGCCTCGGCACGTACCTTACTCCGCAGGCGGAATCCGCGTCTTGGGAAGCCCAATCGGCCCACAACCTGGATGCGCTGAGATGGTACAGGAGCGCCTCTCAGCAGCCGCAGAACCTCTTCCGCTTCTGTCTCAAATGGACCCGCAGCTTTGCCTGCTGCTCCTCACTCGGTGCGTGAGCCGGCGTGCCTCTTACCTCGTCAGAACCACGCCCTTGGATGTGCTGCCGGAGGAGTCCTGGTCGGCATGGGGGGAACAGCTGCTGCACACCTACTTGACGGCCGCTCACACTGCGGTACCACGGGAAGAGGCAGAGCGGGGGAGAGTCTGGCGGCAAGCAGCCCTGCCCGTGACGCTGGGCGGCCTCGGCATCACCAACCCAGCGACGGAAGGGGCATTTGCGTACCTGGCCTCGGTCATCTCCTCCGCCCATCTGCTGCGCTCGTTCGGTGACGCGCTGCACCCTGCTGTCGCTGATTTGCTGCTGCTGATGGATGCAGACGGGAACTCACGATCTGCCCTACCACGACGCCTCGCAGTGGCTGAAGCAGCGCTGCCCCCAGACGGACTAGAGGCACTCCAGGTCGGCCGGCGTGACCCAGAAGGCCCGAAGCTGCAGCAGGCTCTGTCGCTGGCCGTCCACACCGCCAGGTACATAGAGCTGCTGGATGACTCTCGGGAGATGCCGCTGAACCCGCTCTCCGGCCACACCCAGCGCCTCCAGTCCCTCCTCGGCCCCGGGGCAGGAGATTGGCTGCTCGCCCTTCCCCTGATCCCAGCCCTCCGCCTGGGCCCCTCTCAGCATTCCACCGCGGCCTCCTTCCGCCTAGGCCTCCCCCTGCCTGTCCCGCGGCGCTGCGATTGCCGCTACCGCACTACCTTCCCTGACCACAGGCTCCCCAACCACCTCATGAGGTGCGAAAAGGGAGGAGGGAGGATCTCTACTCACCATGCTCTCCGCGACGAGTGTGCGAAGATTGCAGCTGAGGCGGGCTTCACGGTGCACAAGGAATCTACTGTGTACTCACCGGTCGAAAACCTGAAAGCGGATGTTTGCATCCGCCATCCCGACACCGGCGAGGTACACATGTGCGACATCACCGTGACGGACCCGGTCTCCCACCAGGATGAGTTTGCGCGGAAGGCGCCAGGGTGGGCTGCACGGATGCAAGCCGCAAGGAAGGAGTACAAATACGCGAGGCGGAATGACTGGGTGGGCTTCCACGCCATGGCAGTAGAGACGTATGGCTATCCCTCCCCTGGAGTGCACGCCTTTCTCCGCAGCTGCGCCGAGCTTGCAGGCAAGCGGCGGTTCAACGCAGCTCCGAAGTCCAGGGAGGTGGCCAAGCTCCTCACGGAGTACCGGCAGCGCTGGAGCGTGACACTACAGAGGGCCCAGGCCAACGCCTTGCGCGACAAGACCCACGAGGCGATAGCCGCGGACGAGCTTGGCCTGCAGGGCCCATTCGAGCCGCTAGGCGAGGAGCAGCTGTACCAGCTGATTGAAGACCCTACTGGCCAGTAGGGCCGTGGGGTGGGGGAGTTTGGTGGGGTTTGGGGATAGTGTGGTGTGGATTTTAGATTAGATTATAGTAGCCTTGCCTTGTTGTGCTCTGAGATGTTGCCGAGCCGTGCCTGTCCATTGCTGCTACTAATACGACGGACCGTTCGAGAGAGAGAGAGAGAGAGAGAGAGAGAGAGAGAGAGAGAGAGAGAGAGAGAGAGAGAGAGAGAGAGAGAGAGAGAGAGAGAGAGAGAGAGAGAGAGAGAGAGAGAGAGAGAGATGCGTGTGTTGTTGGGAACGATTCTTTGACAAGGTTCGCATTTAAATGCGATGAAGGGCCACACAGAGGGCGAAAACGGGAGACAGGTGGGGTAACCTTCGAGTGAAGTGCACTCTACAAGCTCGGAAAGATGTCGAAACACGAGGCTTGCAGAAGAGAGCCCGACTCTTTCCGAGGTGAGTGCAGCACGAAAACAATCAAGAAGGGGTTTGTTTATGAATGTGATGATGTGATGGCAGTGTGCTGCATGTCATGCTCTGTCACATCACAACCATGGCACGAGTCGTACGATACCAGTGATGATGCGACAGTGGCGTGATGATGCCTCACCAATGTGACAATGACGTTGCTGGCCCCTGTGTTCTTCAAGGTGCCTCAAAACAAGAGAACATTTTCGAGGTGCCTCATACCGTTGCGACAGACAGAACCATACCGAGGTGACAACACCACACCGAGGTGACAACACCACACCGAGGTGACAACACCACACCGAGGTGACAACACCACACCGAGGTGACAACACCACACCGAGGTGACAACACCATACCGAGGTGGCAACACCATACCGAGGTGACAACACCACACCGAGGTGACAACACCATACCGAGGTGACAACACCACACCGAGGTGACAACTCCACACCGAGGTGACAACACCATACCGAGGTGACAACACCATACCGAGGTGACAACACCATACCAAGGTGACAACACCATACCGAGGTGACAACACCATACCGAGGTGACAACACCATACCGAGGTGACAACACCACACTGAGGTGACAACACCATACCGAGGTGACGATGACGTGGCTGGCCCCTGCGTCCAGGTACATCTCAGCGTTCTCTGGAGTGATGCCTCCACCCACGTGCAGCCCACCTGGGTTTGAAAGACAGAGTATAAGCTTTAGGAAGGACTAATGGGAGGGAGGGAGGGAAAGAAAGATGCATGGCGGATGTACACATCTGTCAGACGTTTTTCAAGGAAAGAAGTAGAGAGAGGAAGAGAGAGGAACCGATCCACAAGCCCTTGTGGTACCTGGGAAGGCGTTCAGCGCCCCAAGAGCTGCCTCCTGACTGGCTGGATCGGCCCCCAGCATGATGACGTGGCCTCCTGGCAGCGAGTCAGCGGCGTACATGCTCGCATACTCTGCTGCACTGCGATCTGACTCAAAGTTGGTCACAGGCTCAAAAGAGGAGGAAGAAGAGGAGGCGGTGGCTGATGAGTCTTGGGAGGGCAGGTCGCGGAGTGTGGAGCCAACGATCTGCTTCACCTTGCCCTGCATGGTTTAAAGGTAGTGGAAAAGAAAGGGTTTCAGTGAGCATGGCACTTGGCGTTGCGAGCAATGTTGAAGATGATGCTGTGAAGGAGATCTTCAGGAGGGAAAGTGACAATCTCAATATACTTCTGGGCTATAATGAAGTTTTTTATAGTTATTCATAGGCTGTTGTTATTTATGGCTGGACGAAACAGGAATGGCGCCACTTGATGATTGAAATACAGCATGGCATGGTATCTTCGTGTTCAGGGAATGACAATGTATGACATGGCATTCATCCCACACGCCAGCGCGTGCGTCCCTTTTTGTGCAAGTTTCCTGCCTGATACTGTGTTTGAATGCCTTCTGCCACGTGGATACCTTCTGAATGTCAATGACACATTCATACCTTGTGAATGTCAACTCCACATTCATACCTTGTGAATGTCGATACACGGCCGGAATTTAACAGCTGCAGCAATCATGGGGGGATCAAGGAGTGACGGAGAATATGTGAAAGAAACCGGAGAAGAAGAAACGCGATGGGAAGAGCGGGAATCAGAAGGACCTGGGACAGACTGACAGGCTCTCGAACATGATCGATTGAAGAAAACGTTGAAAATACAAGGAAGATGGACGCTGGAAACAAGGAAAACTGGAAGGAAGAATGGAAGACACTGAGAGGGACTAGCGAGATAGCTTACTCTGTCTCGTGCTAGTAGCTTGGCTGTCTGAAGCACTGCAGCGGATAATATGGGATACCGAAGGTCGAACGGACAGTGAAGGTTGATGCATTGTGAGCGGAGCGGCTTTTAAGACGCTTCTGCTGGTGGCGGTTGCTATCGAAATGGCTGACGAACCCATGATGACCGCTCAAAGAGGCTACTTCGACCAAATGTATAGTCGTCCTGACGCCTTTAGGACACTGATGCGCAATTATTCAGGACACGAATGCGCAGATCAAGGCTACATAAAATTAATCGTTAGGCGCACCAAATGGCGCGAGGTATTTGGAATTTATTCTAGAACCCTGAGCCTGGCCAGCCTAGATTCTGGTCCCTGCACATTTGCAGGGCGAACTTTTTTCAAATGACGGTACAGATACACTCTCTTCTACGTACGGAATAGAAAACAAAATGCTTCAAGTTTCATTGAACCATCTTCCAGAAAAAAATCTTGCTTGTTTCAAAATCCTTGCACAACCCTAATCCAATGTACAGTATGCCACCTTGTGTACACGTGTTTTGATTAGTGATTGGTGTAACATCAAGTACAAGATGAACGGATATGATAGTAGCACTTCCCCTGGTATGGTGCTGCATCCTGCATCCTGCATCTGCACTGACTTGCTCTTTCTCTAACAATCGCGGCGTCATTGCATCGACAGTGCAATGGCGATGGACGCAGGCTAAGGTCAGAATCATGATATAAGAGAATAGCAAGAGAAACCTTGCAACTGAAAGGATTCAAGACAATGGAATGGATTATGAGAGCACACAGCAGGGTATTTATCCATGCAGCCACCCTGCCAAAGTCTAGCCATCACCACCAATAATGGTACCTCCAATAATTCTACCCCCATAGTCCTGAACTCCAATAATGCAGCTCCTACAATCATTGCACAATTATTGTAGGGCCTAGAGGCTTATATAGGGGATTACATTAAAACCTAGCAGCATATATTATTCTGATGCCTTATATTTCCAACACTCCCCCTTGCTGTAGGTTTTACTGAGGTTCATTCTTGTTGAGGATGGGGGGATAAGGTGGGTTACCACAAAACCAACTTACCCTTAGCTTCCGTTGATTGCGGAAGTGTTTTCCCGTCCGTGTCGGTGCAGACCACGTTAGGGTTTCACATTGTCCTAGGAGTTGGTTCCGTTGTTGCGTAGCAGGTCTGTTTCAGGTGCGCTACCTCTATTGCGATAGTGTTCCTCACATCGAGTTGCGCTGCTCCTGCTTCCCGTTCCTCCTACTCAGATCTGGTTCACCCAAGAACCTTCAATCTCGATAGTCAGCCGTTTTGCAACCCCACCAGCGAATCGCGTTCACCCACGGCTTTCCCGTCGTGACACTTCAGCAGCACCTCCTAGGCCTAGTTTTAGTCAATAGTTGCTGTTGCTCTTTTGGCCGTAGGCTGACCATGGCGAAATTAGCTCTCAGAAAGGTCGAAATGCTTCAAAGAGGTGAGCCGCAGCTGGCTCTCGCTCCAACAGCTGACACACGACTTAGCAAGTGTTGGCGTGCGACTTCTTCATGGCGCTCTGCTGCTCCTGCTCCTGCTGGTCGCGCGACTCGCTGCTGGTCTTGATCATTCAGCACTTCGCGCCCGTCCTAAGCGGCATGATGCGCGACCGCTGGTGCATGCGCACATCTCCAGCAGCAAGCTCACGGCTGCATCAGCGCCCGTGACGACCGGCTGCAGTGGCTGGCGTACGGCTGCAGCAGCATGCGCGCTCCCCCTGTCTCTGCGGACGACCTGGCGCACGGCGACAGGAGTACTTGCGATGACCTACGCGCCTGTAGTGCCTTTGCGCGCAACTGCATTTCATGCCGTGCAACTTCAACTTGGCGCGAAATCACTGCTGCTGGCACGGGTGTCCAACACCTTAGCGCAACTGCTGCTGCTGACGTGTATCTGCAGCATCTACACAGTGACACGTGACGCTTGGCGAGTGGCAGTATGGCAGCAGCGGCGTGCCTTCTCCGTCGTGACTAGGTGAGTAACCCTTCACCGTGTACATTTCTCCTTGCACTGATTCACCAGCTTCTCCTAATCACGATCTTCCTCTCCCTTGTATTTCTTGTCACCACCTGCAGGTGGCGTAATGCAGCAACCGATGGCGGCGCACAGTAGCAGCAGCTCGTGAGCAGCACCATCGTGTCCTGTCGGGCGGCGGCAGCACCAGCGGCGCTTGACGAGCGGCGGTCACGTCAGCAGCTTGTGGAGGGCAGCTTCTTGTGCCGACCAGCAGCTTCAACTTCAACAGCGTGCAGCAAGTGTCGCACATCAGCAGCATTACCCGGCGCTCGGCAGCAGCATCAGAGGACTGCAATAGCGACACACTCGCGGAAGTAGCGGCAGGTGAGCAGCAGGCGACTAGCAGCATCAAGCTGCTTACCCATTCTTCTGCCGAGGTGAGGTGTTCCTTACAGGTCAGATCCGTTTGAGCGAGTGTTGTGCTCTCCTCTCTGCCGCACCCAAGTCCCGTTCTCTCAGTCCTTGTTACCTTGTGCTGCCCCCCTCCTGCACCAGGTGGCACACGGTGTTAAGAACCTAAGGCAAGAATGAGTGAATTAGGTGAAGGCTAGGGTACAAGACTAGGGTATCGAGAAAGTTTGTGTACCCCCTAGTGCTAACCCCCATACAGCCTAGATAACCTAAACAAGCATATATATATAATTTGACACACCCCCATAGGCGAAATGGGGGATAGCCAGAGCAAGCAACGGTCACAAGACCAGTCAAGAGAAGAAACAAAACACAGCTCAGGGTGGATCACAACGTCACCACGCAGTCTGAGCACAAGCAAAAGACCACAAGGCCAGTTCACATGCAGAGATATATATATATAGATCACAGTACAAACAAAGCCTACAGCAAGTGAGGAAGTGTGGGCACTAGGCCTAACAAGGTGCAGAAACGCTGATGATCACCAGGCGGAAGCACCTTGGTGAATATATCAGCAGTGTTGGCCCGAGTCGCCACGTAAGCAAGGCGAAGCTGGCCACGCTGCTGCAGCTCTCGAGCAAGGAAGTAACGCAGAGCGATGTGCTTCGTTCTGTGCTCCAGTCTGTGCTCCTGACACAAGGCAATGGCGGCCTTGTTGTCGACGTACAGAACTGGAGGAGAACGAGGCCGCTCTCCCAAATCGGTCAGCAGGTAGGTGAGCCAGCGTAACTCCTGTGCAGCCATGGCTGTGGCGTACATCTCAGCCTCACAGCTGGAGCCGAGAACTGATGACGAACGTGTAGAACGCCAGGAAACTGAACCAGAACCAAGGCTGAAGGTGTAACCCTGTGACGACCGCTGCGCAGCCTGGTCGTCAACCCAAGAGGCGTCCGAGTGACCAGTGAGGACAACGTCACCCTGTCCTCCAAGCACGAGCCCCATGCCCGATGTACTGCACAAGTAGCGTAGTACCCTCTTAGCAGCATCCATGTGCACCTTTCGGTGCCGACCAGGAGCCACGTAGCGAGCCAGAAGGCCAAGAGGGTACGCAAGGTCAGGACGAGTGCAGGTCATCAGGTACATGAGGCAGCCCACTAGCTCTGGGTAAGGACCACTCGGCTCTACGGACTCGTCCGAAGGTGGAGCTGAGAGCGATTGACCTGTAGCCAGAGGAGTGGCCTGTCCTGAGGACCAGGTGAAGCCGAAGCGCTGAAGGACCTGCTGCATCATGTGTGACTGACTCAGTGTGATGGTGCGGCGTGCTCTGTCCCGGGTGATCTGCAGGCCAAGGTAGCTGCGCAACTCACCCAGGTCTGTGCACGTGTGTCTCTTCTGCAACTCCGACTTCACCAGGGCGAGCGCCTCAGTGTCAGCAGTGGCAAAGACCAAGTCGTCGACGTACACTAGGATGTAGAACGGCGGGAGCGAAGTGTCGGTGCGCAGAAACAGCGACGGGTCAGCAGTCGACGGGGCAAACCCAAGAGCCGCAAGAGTCGTCCTCAGTGTGTCGTGCCACTCACGTGGCGCCTGGCGGAGACCGTAGACTGGCCGTCGGAGGCTCCACTGGGTACCAAGAGGGAACGACCCAGTGAAGCCAGGTGGACGGCGCAGCCAGATCTCCTCGTGCAGGCTGCCCTGCAAGAAAGCTGTGCTGAAGTCAAGAGAGTGAAGCTCGTAGTCACGCTGAGCGGCAACGTGCAGCAACACCCGAAGAGTAGTCATCTTCGGGGTGGGGGAGAAGGTCTGGAAGAAGTCAACTCCCTCTCGCTGACTGAAGCCTCGAGCAACGTAACGAGCCTTGAAGACAAGTGGAGAACCTGGCGGCCGCTTCACCCTGAAAATCCACATGACACTGACGATGTTCGCCCTAGGAGGGGGAACCTCGTCGACGTAGGTGCCTGTGGACTTCCAGGATGCCATCTCTGCGTCCATGGCTGTCTGCCACTGTGAGGAGTAGGGACCCTCGATCGCCTCAGCGTACGATCGTGGAGTCGGGATGTCTGGTGCATCCGGGTCTCCCTCAGGGGCAAGCAGCATGGACACGAGATGAGGCGCAGCGGCTGCAAGACACTCAAGGTCCTCCTGCCTGTCCTCAAGGACGTCCGTGCCAAGAGCACACTCACCCCCGACGGACGGAGGACAGACAGACTCAGACTCAGCAACAAGACTAGCGGCGTAGTCTAGACGACAGTGAGCAGCAAAGAAGACAAGATCAGCGACTAAGGCAGACGCAGCAGCAGACTCAAACGACGGGTCGGCGACAACAGTGGCTAGCAGACGCGTGACAGTAGGGTGCTCAGCACAAAACCGGTC